CCTCGAGCAATAATATCGGAAGAAGGCTCCAATCCCGAATTGATGTCCAGGATTGTCCAGACACCAACAGCACTAAAGAGGCTTAAGAATATATGGAACGAAAACAGTATATACCCAGCACTAAAATCAGTCTGATGCGTTCATTAGTCATCTCCATTTTCTTGTATGTCATAGAGTTCTGGACATTAACAGCAGAACTTGAAAAAAATAAAAAATAAAGGTGATGGAGATGAGATGTTATAGAAACATTCTTGGAATCTGCTATAGAGACTATAATCTATAACGAACAAATCAAAGAAAAAATTCGTCAAGCAATTGGGCAGTATGATGACCTCCTGGGAACTGTAAAAAAAAGCACAAATTGGAATGGTATAGCCCCGTGGCAAGAAAACAAGGGCTCGCCAAAGAAACCATGCAGTGCACAACGAGAGGAGAGAGAAGAAGAGGAAGACAGATAAAAAGAAGATAAAATCAAAGATTGGTCGGGATTAAAGCTAGGCGATGCTGTGTGAAGTGCAAAATAAAAAACAGAGAGGAATGTAGGGGGGGGGTAGTTTTCTTGTCATCTGTGGCGCCCCAGCAGTCCAAGGACTAAGGAACATGTATTGTACTATGTGCTTGACTAAGATTTTGGCCCCCGGGCGGAAATAACCCTAGCTAAGCCACTGTTCAGTAGTGAACAAAGTGGAGAAAGGCAGCGCCGTCTTAAGACATGGGCATACAGGGCACTTGCCCAGGGTCTCACGCCTCAAAGAAGCCTCATGTTCAAGGGGGCCTCATGAATCTAGGTGGCCTCACGCTTCTAGGGGCATTATGCTGGAAACAGTATTAGTGAAGATTGAAATATTTTGGCAAATTTTAATTTGCTTTCAAAATGAAAGCGGGGAGACCGTAATCTCCAGTTTTTAAACAAGTTTTTAGAATTCCACATCCACTCAATTTTTTTTTTTAATTTTTTTTTTGGGGGGGGGGGGAGGAATTATCAAATTATCAATTGGAAATAAATCCATCAAATAATTTTCTTGGTGCATGGTTGGGGGAGGAGTCAATCAAAGGGTCTCACACAGGGCGCCAGACGTTCATTATTTAGTCGTTTAAATGAAGGAAGTTAGCGTCGTTAGAAATTCCAAATTAACTTTTCAAGCTACTGCAGTGGTTTGGAAATTCATGCTTTACCTTAAAATAAATGACATATTAATAAAATAGTTGGTGACTTTTGTAAATAGTTTATTTTTCTTTTAAATCTTTTTTTTTTATAACATCTAGATACAATTTATTTTAAAAAATAACCTGTTTTAAATAGCCACACCCAATCAGTATACCTTTTCTACACAACAGTAGTTTTTCTCTCTTTTTTTAACTGTAAATGTTTTAAAAACTTATGTTTTAAATTAAATTCAAATGATAATTATTTCCCACGAACAATCATTGCTTGGCATTGGACAATGCCGCCGTGGACTCGACCATAGATCGAGAGTTTCAAGGCTGTCCTGACACCCGCTAGGAGCGGTTAGGGTGACCGCATCGTTTCCTAAACCGTTGCACATATGCCAGTTTTTGGTTGCAGCAACGTAGTCGATCAGAATCAGAATATACCAATAGAGTGGTTGTCTTTTTTTTAATCTAATGATCAACTGATGAGAACGGATTTTTGTTGTGTTTTCATATTCATTAACTGATGAATTAGTTTTTTAAAAATAAATAGTTTCAATTAAAATTATGAAGAAAAAAAAATACTATTTAGGTACAACTAAAAATAAAAGAAATTCTGTAACGCATCCATCGCCAAGGGAAGCTAGCATCCATCGCCAAGGGAAACTAGCATCCATCGCCAAGGGAAACTAGCATCCATCGCCAAGGGAAGCTAGCATCCATCGCCAAGGGAAACTAGCATCCATCGCCAAGGGAAGCTAGCATCCATCGCCAAGGGAAACTAGCATCCATCGCCAAGGGAA